ACTTACTTTATCTGAAATAAAATGCTAAATCGTTAACTCTGAAACTCTTATTAGGTAATCTAAATTCTTTTATTTATAGAACGTATATTTGTAGTCAATACAGAAAGTTAACCGATTCTTGCGAAAATTTAGATTTGCTTTCTAGGCTAACTCAACTGCAATATTACACGTAGTATAATATAAAATGTTAGGTTTTTTTGTTAAGTACATAATTATAATATGTAGGATATATTCTATAAAATGCAGTCATGAAAATGTTAAATTTATATAAAGAAGTATGGACAAAATTTCATGCGTAATAGGAAATTATTAGCTAAATGTCTAATTGTACAAATTAGGTTTCAAAAAAAAAAAAATATAGAAGTTATTCAATCGAATCTTTATTGCCAGATTGCGAGCAACACTTTTGAAAATGCTACATATATTTAGTTGGGATATTATTCCACTTAAAATACTCAAATCGGCTTAATGAGATATGATTATTATTATTATTAGTTATATAACTATTTAAACTTACTATTATCAATTGCTTAGAATTGCATGGAGGCAATTACACAGGTAGAGTAAGAATTTTTTGGTTTTTTTTTGCTAATTAAACTTGTTAGAATGTCAGCATGCGAATAACGTTACTAATTATTAAAAATTGATCTATGTTATCTGACTGTAATATTTATATTGAGTATTTTCAAATAAATGCACTCTATAACTACGCAGTTGAACAACAATTAGATGATGCATGTGTAAGCAGCAATTTTAAACTTCGATATTAGCAGTCTCATAAATTTAGGAGTGCTTTAAGTTACAGTTAGTGCTTAATAAAATTTACAGAAACCGAAATGAAAACATTAATTGATAAGTATTCAGTGTATAGTATTACATACCTTAAACTCTATTTTTATAAAGTTAATCGAGCAACAGTACTTCAGGATAAACAATATTTAACATGGTACACTCGTTGGAGTTTTGCTGAAAAAGAACATGAATTGAGCGTGGAGAAGTACATCGGGAAAGAGCTACATAAAGTTGACCATATGTAAAAACCGGTGTTCGGAGATCCAGACCAACATTCATTAGTGATTGTCCCTGAGATTTATTAATAGTAATAGCAAAAGCAGTACGGACTGGAAACTGTCTTCATTTAAATATAAATGGTAAGTCAGTCGAAGATGATGTTAAAGTGATGCGAGGGATAAAAACTGTTTTTCCAGTGTAGCTTCCAGAAAGTAGACGTGCTTCAATAACATGATCTGTAAGATGGGTTGCTACTAAGCGAGAACCATTACAAAGTCCCTGATAAGGTGCAAGGTTGCAAAGAAGTATAATAAGACATCTGATTTTGATACCAAGCTTAGAAGGTGGCATTCCGGATGGGTTAAGTGTGTTTAAGTATTCAACAGGATATACATTGCTGTTATCAGCCCCTTCTTCTATTATAGCATCATCAGCGCTTAAATACATACGGTCATCTCCAGGAAACATATCAAGAACAGCATAATTAATATCTTGAACGTCATCATTACGGGCAGATAAAATCATTCTGTCTCTTAAATAATCGTCATTTGGTATTCCATGTTCTATATTAGGATAAACTGAGTTAATAAGATACTGTATATTGGGGCCAACTTGCATGTGATCAGGAAGTGACATCATATTTTGTAATTCTGAGGTATTTGTTCCATTTCCAACCTAAGAAAATTAAATATGTTAACATATACTAAAAACATATTTGGCTCAAACACGTCAACGCAATCTTACCTCCAAAAGCCAGTTTGCGAAAAGTTTATTTTCTTCTGATTCTTTTTCTAATCGCATATTTTGATGCAATGTAATAATTTTTACATGTTGCCATAAGTATGATCATTGTAATGAAGCACCAACTATTTGTTCTCTTGATCCTTTTACAACAACTGGCAAGATTTGGCGGAAGTCACCGCCAAATACAACTGTGATTCCTCCAAATGGTCATTCATCATTGCGAATATCACGTAAGGAATGATCAATGGCTTCGGGACAATAACGATGCTGTAAAGGTATTTCGTCCCAAATAATAAGTGCGGTTTGACACATTAAATCGGCAAGGTCAGAATTTTTATCAATTGAGCAAAAAGAGTCTTCAGTAACTGCAATGGGAATTCTAAAGGTTGAGTGAGATGTGTGACCGCCATTAAGTAATAGAGCTGCAATACCTGAAGAAGCTACACAAATCACAATTTTGTTTTCACTATGAACTTTCATAGCAAGTATATTGTAAACAAAAGTTTTTCCGGTTCCAGCAGCTTCATTGAGAAAAAATAGTTGGCTATGTTCATTATTTATTGAGCTATAAATACTGTAATATGCAGCACTTTGGTCGTTATTTAGTTGTTGAATGCGATTTTCAACTAATAATTGAAGTCGTTCATAATCCCAAGCTAATTGTTCAGCAATAAGACGATTTCCATGATAAAGGCCCCAATTGCGGTCCCAATGAGGCATTGAAGGACACATAGCAAGTGACATATTTGAATTATGTAAGATTTCATCAATTAAAAATAGCCCATAGTCATACACCTGGTCTTCAGTTGGTTCTGGAATAGCATGCTCATTATGTAACCGATAATAGAGATCATCGCAGATATTGGCACGAAAATTTAACCACAATCTTTCTGGATACGTTGGTATATATTGGATTAGAATAACTGCAAAAAGTGATCTCAATTGTGAGCCATTGCGCATAATAGAAGCTTCCTCTAAACATTAACTCCATTCATCATCATCTTCTAGCAGGCCAAGAGCTATGCATGACTTTTGAATGTTGGGCATTCAACACCATTAACAGTTCTCAGATGCTTGAATGACTGTGGACTACGGATGACAGTAAGTAAAAGTCGTAGATAAAACCGTTCTCCAGCTAATGGGTCCGCAAAGTATATTCTACCAATAGCAAACCCTTTTTTTCAAACTGACCATTTTTTCGTATTTTTATTTCACACAAAATGTTGCAGAAATTCTTGATAAGTGTATCGTCGTGCAAATTCTATAGTAGCACAAGTCTCAAAAAATTCAGTTAGGGTTGTTTTCTGACGGTCTGCATGGGATAGAATAATTGCAGCTTCATCATTTGGATCATAAACAACCTGATGCATTCCTGGAAGGTGCAACACAAGTCTCACAACATTTGGTACTTCTTCATGTAAATGCATTCCAAACAGTCGCCATGCTGCTTCCAGAGCGCTAATGTATCTTGCATTGATAAACTGCTTAATCTCATCCGGTTCACACCCAAATTGCATAGTGGTTCAATCATGGCCTTTATAGATATACTTGTGTATATATTTAACGGCCTGCACAGAATTGATGACAGAATGAATATTTAAACAAAGAAAAAGAAATAAATAATGATAAGATATGATGTAATAAATAAAAAA